TAATTACTCATGTGTTAGCTATTCTTCAATATCTATTTTAAATTACAAATCTTGATATTAATAGAAGTTGTTCTACTGTGCGACATATTTGAATTTTCCGCCAGTTTGGTAGTCTGTCTGCTCTCGAGAGCGCTCTAGCTATATATATATATAGCTGCAGAGAAGACTTCATTCGCAATGACTGAAATAATTATTTCACATTGTTTTTCTGTTAGTTTTACGATAATGCAATAGATAATCATCTTCGACAATTAAATTGCAAACGATTAAAGTAAGTATCATAGCCGTATGTGGAGTATTTGAGCCAGACAACGAGACAACGTACTTATTCGGACTCTAGCTGGACCATTTAGTTTTTATTTTTTTATAGACAACCGGAAGATCCGACAATTTTTGCAAAGTGATTGCAAACGTTGCTAACGATTCCGCAATTTTGGGTATTTTTTTCATGTCCCAATTCGAAAGTCATTCGCGGAGTTCCTGGAGCCGATAACGATAAGATAATTTGTTTGAAGTTTAAAGTGCAATATCTATTGTCAGACGTTTGAGTGTTCCACAGTTAACTTGCACAGTGTCTCTGTACACTCTACCATGTTATCATTTACTCATATGTACGATTTGTAGAGGTAATTAAATCACTTTGGAAGTAACACGAATATTCGATCCACACGGATAAAAGTATACATTGCACCTAAATTTTGCCATTTATCTGCATTGTGCAAATAACCTCATCTTGTATGTGATTATATCGAAAACTCCTGGACCACGACGCACCACACATTCCTTAGAAAGGCGAAAAGACATAGGGCCAAGTGTAGGGGGGGGGAAAGAGGGGCAAGAGACAAGACGAAAAAGACGGGATGATGTATAAATAATAAGCACCTCGCCAAATATCCTCGGCATTATCGCTCGCGACGATACGCATCGAGAATTAAAGGTCTCGGGGACGAAAAATGGCTGTTCAAAAAAGCACAGTTTGTGTCAACCCTTTGGAGAGGGGAAAAAAAACCCTCGGGGGCCGTATACATGTAACCACGTGTGTGTGCGCGCGCACACGCATGCCGTTCGAGGGCCCCGGGATGACGAACGGCAGCAGCAAAAAGGAGAAAACAAGAAGCAGCGACAATTATCTTCTCGGCCCAAAAATGCGCTCCTTTAAGTAGCTCTCGCGCATAATGCTCTTCGTGACTTGCCCTCGAGTAAGGAAGAAGGAAAAAAAAAAAAGGGAACAAGAAGCGAGCGAGTAGGTATACAGAAAGAGATCAGGTAGACGACGACGCGTGCCCCCGGGGGCCGCTCGGAAGAGAGCAGGAGCTGCAGCGGGGGGAGATCATACCGATTCCGCTCCTCTCGATCGGCATCATATACCCGTACAAGGCTCTCTCTTTTCCTTCTTACGCGCGTATAATGTATACTCGCTCGGTCGTGCACCTGTCCCTCCGATCATCCTACCTACATACCGACTCCTCTTCCCGATCCCCGCAGCCTCTGGATCGCTACCATACGGAATTAAACCGAGAAAGACGTTATTGAGCGCACTGCAGCGCAAACCGGCCAATTATACAGAGAGAGCCGCCCATGTGTATATAAATATATATATGTATATGTATTGTGTGCGGTGCATCCGATCGCCTGCATATACGTGTGTGGGTATATATGTACACCGATCGATAGAAGAGAGGAATTTGCACGGAGGTGTGTATATATATGAAGAAGCCGAGGTGGAAGAAGAAGAAGAAGAAGAAGGGACAAACGAGAAAGGGGAGTGTAGATGCGGCCCGATACCGTTACCGGGGCCTCTAATAAAGTAAATAAAGAGCTTGCTGGACAAGTTGGCCTACCCCCACCCTCTTTTTCCTTTTCTCTCTCTCCCTTTGGACTTTCTTCTCTTCTCTTCTCCGATGCCACGTATAGGTATATATAATATACACGCTCGCCCTTTTTTCGTCCTCGCCTCGTTTACTCGTCCCTTCTCTGCCGTGGTTTTGTGTTGCCTCGCACCACCTGATGACGATTTTGATATTTTGTGCTGATATGTACAGGTGGAGCAAAGGAGTTCTACCGACAAAAATACGTATAGTTACGTAGAGCCGTTCATTCAATAACGATCATGGTAAATCGGCATTGTTCCCGTCCCGTTTGTCTTGTATGAGTTTTATATTAATTGAAAAACTCATCGTTCAAACACGAATCCAACCTGTCATCAAAAAATCCACGCAACAGATGAGCCGTTGTGCAAACAATTCACATTTACATACCGGTCACGCGTTTAACCGTTAATCGAACGCGACGTTCGACATACCCCCCGAATACTATTTTCGATAACGATCGCGATGCTAAACGCACGGTAAACAAGTTATGATGTGTACGGGGGTGGAGAAAAAAAAGGTAAACAACGCTAAGGGGGTTTTTCACGCCCTAATGGGGTACAAAGCACACTTGTCACGCCATTTTCACGCTCGAGCAGCTCTACTTACTGCACAACACGTAATTATCATCAGGGGGCGAGAGGGAAACATGACACGTATATAACATACAGGTGACAGCTTTATGGAGTCGCGCGCTCGTCGGTGTTGACGAAAAAACGTCAATAATACATCAGAATGCGAGCGTTGGTAGCTTTTCTAATCGGCCTCGATGGAACGTAAATCCTTTGCCCACGCCATAGTACCAGCTGCACACCGCGATACTTTACCTTTTACCAACACGTAATATACATTATACATGTGTATCGCGTAATCAGCGTGAACCATTGAATTTTATCACTTTCATGGGTATATACCTAAATATATGCATGCATGCACTGATATTTTCAATAGAGAGGCGCGAAGTCGAGGCGCGTTGTGTTGTTGCAGCTGCTGCCTATATTTCCACACCGCACCTGTTGTTGTCGGCGATTGCGTACGAGTATATATTGACGTGGGCTGCCGGTGCACGGCTTTCCCGATGCGCACTCGTGTGCAGGACACATTCCACGATTTGGATAAACAGTTTTTTTTTTTTTTTTAATCAGTGAGTAATTTATAAATACGTTACTCCACCGATGCAAGTAATCCTTGTACGATAAGAGTTGCGTATCAAACGCAATTACTACGCTCATTTGCCACCAACATCACTACGTCCAACTAACAGCGTAAGAGCACTTGCTGTCATTGTATGGGCACAAGTTGAAAAACAAAGCGAGAACTCTTAGTTGCGAGATAAAATTTTAACTCTTCCAAACGGAGGCGGAAAAAAAAGAAGATTATCTACCTCGACCGCGTGAAACGTCCCGTCCCCAGCGTTAGATCAACACCCGATAAGGAAAAATATACGACACTTTTTTTTTTTTCTCGTGGGTCTTCTGTATTATCAAAACGTCTCTCGTTCACGTGTTCGAGAATAATTTTTTTTTCCTTTTCTTTAAACACCAGATTTATCTACGGCAGCATGCAGGGTATTCATTTCGCCGTGGAACCACTGGTTTATAATTAATTTTAAAAAATCTGCGCACACAATGAGAAAACGATTTTACACAAAACCTCAGCCCCGTACGCAACACCATAACGTATAATATATATTATAATTTTTACTCAAATTCACGCGTAAGCGTAGCTCGGAACCCTCAAGAAATTTTCCGACGCTTAACTCGCCTCGTTTGTGCATATATCCCAGGTTAAAAGCGCGTATGATTAATGAACACACAGGATATGTCCATACAATTTATTCGAAGCGCGCTCGCACGTTTATACACAGAAACAAGTCGCTCCATATAAATATCTCCGCATATATGTTTGTATACCTGTACACGTAAACGTGTGGCTGCAGTACGGAGGAGCGATTAGTACAGAGCACCTGCAATTCATCACTGGATGGTTATTTTGAAAATTGCCCCGACGTGGAGAAAAACAATGATATTAAATGTAAATGCCCCTACCGGCCGACCTTACGATACATTATAGGTATATATATATGCTTATAATGTACCTGTGCCACGATCATCAGCGCAGATAAC